AGCTCTCAAACCAGCAGGACCCTGGATTTTTATGTTTCAAAGCTCCTCTTCAGATGAAAATAAGACCAAGCAGGAAGCCTGAAATGATATTTTCTCGAATCTCTAATCCCACAATTGGCATCTGGAGAAAAGAGAAACAACAGGGCCAAGAAGGGAGCTTGAAGCACAAGTGCACATGTTGTCATAACTGGCCACTCTGACTTGTCAGGAAACTTGAGGGTCAAGTGCTGATGCAAATGCAAAACTCACAGCAGCACACTGACTGGGCATACAGCACCGTGAGGGTGCCCATATAGCACCACCTTAAAGAAGGGCCTCGAGCAGACCCCGGAAGGATCCAGGCCACTTCATTTGTGTGACAGGTAGGGGTCCCTCAGTACCTCAAAACACACCATAAAGGGGGGAAAGCAAGAATGTTCATGCAAGGAAAACATTCCTTATTAACTGTGAGGAAACAGCCCTTACTAAATCCACTTAGATGCTTTTAGGAGATGAAGATGTCAAGAAGAAACTAACAGAGGATTGATTTTATTTAGAGTTTTGAAACCCTCTGAGAAGATGGCAGACCAAATTTAGCCATCAAGGATTTAAACACCATGTGGGCAAGTAGCACATTTCTCAGGGACCCGGGCTGAGATTTTAAATGGGTAGAAGAGGGAGTACACTGTGAAACTGCCACATCCAGAAATGATATTTAGCTCCTCTGAGTAAAGGAATTACCAAACAGGGCAAAAATCATTTTAAGTGCTGTAGGTGTGACAAAGTAAAACAAACAAAAATGGTAAATGAGTTTTAATTCAAAGGATTTTATTTCAGAAAAGCATAAATTTAAATTTAGAATAATTCCAACAAATATAAATTAATGAGTTCCAAGTTATCTGTCATGAGCTGAGGGAAAGCTTGTAGGGTTAGGAAAGGAGCTGCCAGCTGCTAAGCGGATGGTGCCCAAAGGCTAGTGTGATGTGGTAGGAGATAGGGTTGTAGTCAGCGACCAGCTTTTGTTATTTTCTCTGTGCCTAGTACTGTGTCATGGATTTTCTTTATAATATGTCTAAATTCTCCCCACAGCCCTACAAATCAACATCATTGCCTCCATTTAAATATGAAAAAATTAAGGATCAAGGAAAGTGAGTACCTCCCCCTAAGTCCATGGGGCTCCCAAGTTGCTGAACCAGGACTGAATCCAGAGATATTCTTCCATAGTCTGTGCAGACATCCTGACAGGAAAAAAAAATATGGAAAATAGATAAAGATACAGAGATGGAAGGAAAATGGGAGGAGAAAGGGAGGGAAGAAGGAAGAAAGAAGGAAAGGTGGAATGGAGGGAAAATAAAAGGAGGGAAGACATCTTCATCTGTGTGTATTTATCTCCCCATGAGGTTCCCACACCAGCAGACATACCTCTGCTTCAGGATCTTAGAAAAGTAGCAAAAACACTAGGAAATCACTTGAAACAACCTCATCAAAGGGTAAGGAGGTTTCTAAGATGGAAGGACACAGATCAGAGAAAATACAGCCCAAGCCTATTGAGTAAAAAGAACAGTAAGAATGGTTCCAATATTCTTGTATACCTACTATGCCCTGGGTCTGTTCTAGAAACTTTTACAAATTCTCTCCCAGAATTCTTATCAAGAACCTCTTTTATCATCCCCATTAAACAGTGCAGTCTGATCCTTTGGGAGAGTTAACAAAATCAAGCATTCAGAAAACACAGGACAAAATTTAGACTGGGTGGACTCTTTCCCCTTAACAAGAATTGTAGCTAAGAAACAAAAATATCATTTTTAAATGTGTACTATTAATCTTTTTTAAAAAACTGGAAAAAAGTATGTTACATTATAATTTATAAAAATTCACAGACCAGAGGCCCTTAAGAGATTACTAAGTGAAGTTAGGAAACCCAGATATATCCTTCTAAGTTTAACAACACAGGACAAAAATAAAACTTTGCCCTGACTTTTCTTTTAACAGTTTTTGTAGACCATAATAGCAGATCAGTAGGTTCAGGTCCACTTGGAAAACAGTGACTACAGAAATAGCACTCTTCAGCTGAGGAAGGTGATAACTGACTTTAGTCCAGTTCTACCAAATGACAGCAGCCAAAGACCAGGCTGGACAGTTAGTGCCCTGTCTGGGCTTCACTTGCTAGATAGATCCCTATGGCCCTTTCCAGTTCACTATTCTATGAGACCTGAGGCTTGACCTGTCTGTCTCACACATTTTCCATTCTCAGACCCTTTTCAGAGTGTTTTGATTGACTATTGCAATGACCGATGACAACATCATTATGAAAGATCAGTTTAATTACTCTGCACAGCTAAAATCGAGTGCCAGATCTGCATCTCCAGCCTACTGAGGCTTCCAGACACATAGAGATGTCCTGGGCCACCAGCCAGGCATGACTCTGTGTGTGCTCCATGGAACCCCACACAATTAGAAAAGCAAATCTGCCAGAACAATAGCAAAAGCAGTGATGAATGTCAAAGCAAAGGAGAAATTATTTTTAGATTTGCTATCTTAGATTATTTGCATTACCATTCGCATTCATGTTTTCAAGAAAAAAAATGTCAGTTAAGGGAAATCTGAGGACAGACGTGGCAAGCAGATTGCGGCTGATTTCTAGTCAGGGAAAGGTGGGAGATATAGGCAGGATTTGTCTCATATGGGGATAACTTGGGTGGAGACTTAAAAATAAAAGACTATATGGTGGGTAAGAGCACAGGTTATCAGGGGTCCAATTGATTGGATGCAAATATAGATTTACCACTAACGAGAGATGTGATATTCAATTTCTTTAGACCTCAATCTCATCTATAAAATGGCTATAATAATAGTTCATTATTTCACTGGAGCTGTCACTAGGATTAGGTAAATTAAGTGTTATTTCTTTATGAGTATTTGCCAGGCATGCTGTTAAGTATTGGTTATTATTGCTGATGTTATTAATCCCCCGAAGGAAGGAATAAATCTGCCCTTTGTCCCAGGGAGGGGAGGGTGCTGCAGACAGGATTTGTGGTGTTTTCTTCTCTCTCTTCATTGTCTCCTGCCAGGGAGGACAAGATTTGAGTTATTGAAGCTTTGAAAGTATCTGTTGTCCTTCTTCCTCCCATAGCAAAGGCACTTCTACCATGCATTCCTAGAGTTTGAAACAATTCCTCCTAAAAACTAAGCTGGGCAGAAACACTCTTCATCAATTTAATTAACCCCTTTGCTTTGTTTTACACAGCCTTGCTTTCCAAGCATGATCTTTCTTGAGCACCGAGATATGAGGGCCATCACCCAGCCTTTCCAAATCACTAGGCAGCAGGAACATAAAGGCAAAGAACTGCATTGTTTGTCTCTCTCCCCTTGCACCCACCCCACCTTTAGGTGCTCTAAAGATATGAAAAGGAAAAATAAGTGGTGGGGCTGCTGCCCAAACCCCCAGGACAGCGAGGCCTCCTCTCTTTCATTGGCACCTAAAGCCAGCACATGGCCAAGAAGGCACTCAAGCCAAGCTTGTTAAATGTACTCAACAGATAGAATAGTGGCCCCACCAAAAATAAAGAATGAGGGCTCTAAAAGAGACGGAATACATTATGATTCATCCCAGGTTCCACACTGCTCTTCATCTGTTTGAAAGTTGCTCCCTTCAGCTGCAACAAGAAATAGCAAAAAGTGACACTGATAAATTAAACCCCTCCAAAATGAGCATTAGCTAGCAAATGCCAAGCTATTTGCATTCTTTCTAATTCTTTCATACAGTTCACCTGTTTCCTTTAACCCAGAGAATCTGCTCTTGCCTTCTACAGTGTAACAGTTATGGACAAATCGCACTTGCGGTATTGATTACAAACTGATGCTAAGGGAAGAAAATAGTTAAGCTTAAGAAGAGAGGGCATTATCATCGAGTGGAAAAATCAAACATCCCCCTCCACCTCACGTGGCTTCCAATCTCACCACCTCCTGTCTGCTCTGTTCCACAGGATTCTGAGAAGTCTGACACATCTTCGTGCTGCTGACACTGTTCGGGTGTAGCCTGAAGTGAGCCACTGACTCATGCTTAGAGAGAAACTGTGTTCCAGTGGCCAACTCAGAAGATACTGCTCACTCTAAAAGGCAAGTGAGATCAGACACACGCCACCTTTTCTTGTGTTGACAGAGTATTTGTTAATCACAATGTCAAAGATGTTTTATCCCTGATGTGCCTGCTGAGGCCTCCCACAAAGCATCACAGTTGCTTGAATGTGCCTGCCGCGCACCCAAGCATGGTCTTCCTTGAACACTGAGATATGAGGGCCATCACCCAGCCAAATCACTAGGCAGCAGGAACATCTGGATTGTTTGGTGTGCCGTGGTGGCCCTTTTTCAGAATCTCAGGCTATGGAAAGTTCTGGGCTCAGCCTCAGGAATTCAGAATCTCTTCCTAACTGCCTGTGAGCCATCAAACTCTTCAGTGCCCCCATTGTAGTTCCAACATTAGTTTCCTCCTTAGACAACTAAGTCGCATCAGATGCTCTTAAAGGCCCCCATCTGCATCACGTTAGTGGTTCTGTGACTCAGGAATGATAGGGGATGGTCAGGAGCAGGGTGGAGAAGGAGAGACTAAATCCACACTTCCTGCCTTGAGGGAGGGGCTTAGGCAGAGGAGGGCATAAAGCTCACAGAGTATGGACAAGTGTGAATCGCATGTAAGTGGGGGTCAGGAGTGAGCCCTGCAAGGTAAGGGGCTCCAATTGAGGATTCTTTGGCAAGTGCAAGTTGAGAAAGCAGCTGTCCATATTCTAGTCCCAGGAGCAAGAAAAGCTGCACCATTTTTTCCTGAGTAAGTCAGTAAGATTTTCCTCCTAGGTGGGGTGCTGGGAATGGACCTGCTAATCATCCACCTCCTCTGCAGCCACTCAATGGTTCTCTAAGTTCCACCTGCACATAACTCCTCAGCTGGCAGGGCCAAAGGATCAGCATGCCCTAAGAGCGCCTCTCCCTCTTCTTCTCACAGGTGCCTCGCGAGAAGGCGGTGTATGGATGGCCCCAGCAATGCCACCTTGCCCCGTGGCTTTCTCCTTCAAGGTTTCTTTGAGTTCCCACACCTGAGGCCTGTGCTCTTCCTGCTACTGCTGGCTGTCCACCTGACTACGCTCAGTGGGAACCTTCTCATCCTGGTGGCCGTGGCCTCAGTGCCCAGCCGGCCGCCAATGCTTCTCTTCCTGTGCCAGCTCTCGGTCATCGAGCTCTGCTACACGCTGGTGGTGGTGCCCCGCTCGCTTGCTGACCTGACCAGACCGGGCCATGCCAGGGGCAGCCCCATCTCCTTCCTGGGCTGTGCGGTTCAGATGCAGATGTTTGTGGCACTGGGAGGGGCCGAGTGCTTCCTGCTGGCTGCAATGGCCTATGACCGCTACGTGGCCATCTGCCACCCACTTCGTTACGCGGCCGTGGTGACCCCCGTGCTGTGCGCGCGACTGGCCCTCGCCTGCTGCCTCGGGGGCCTGACAGTGTCACTGGGGCTCACGATGGCTGTCTTCCACCTACCTTTCTGCGGCTCCCGCGTGCTGGTGCATTTCTTCTGTGACATCACTGCGCTGCTGCACCTGGCCTGCACCCGGAGTTATGCCGACGAGCTGCCGCTGCTGGGTGCCTGCCTGGTGCTGCTACTGCTGCCCTCCATGCTCATCCTGGCCTCTTACGCGGCCATCGCTGCCACCCTGCACCGCCTGCGCTCTTCCGGGGGCCGCCGCAAGGCCGCCTCCACCTGCGCCTCACACCTGGCGGTCACCTTCCTGCACTATGGCTGCGCCACCTTCATGTATGTGCGGCCCAAGGCCACCTACTCCCTGCGGCTGGACCGCACCTTGGCGCTGGTCTACACCAATGTCACGCCGCTGCTCTACCCACTTATCTACAGTCTGCGCAACCGCGAGATCACCACAGCCATACGCAGGGTACTGGGGCGCCTGAGACCTGGCAAAGCCATAGGTCAAGGTCTGTATGAACCCTGAGAGCAGGATGGGACAGACCAGAGTGGCCAGTCCCCCACCACCACCGGGAAAGCTACCGTGCACTCTAGGACCTTGTTGAGGAAAGAGAATGGGGACCTGGCTACACTAAAGAGCCACCCAAGATCGCCCGGTCCTCCTTCACTTTAGAGGAATGGGCCAAGACCTAGTAATAGAAAGCCCTGGATCTGGATTTAGTGGTTCCATAAATACATGAGGCGTTTTCCTCAGAAGCCTGGGCCTGAGCACAGTAATGGGCTCTGTGAAGAAGGCACAGGGATGGCCTTCAGGAACCAGTTTGAGGATAAACTGGAGTAAGCAAGGGAAGGAGGGAGGGCATTAGATGGATGCTTATGCTAAGATTTGGAGGTATGGGGAAGTCAGGAAAAGATGCTGGGGGGGGCACCTGGAGAACTGCAGGAGTTAATTGGGTGGAGAGAAGGAGAACTGCTTAACAAGCTTTGAACCTCAGAAACCAAGTCTTGTCTTTGATGGCTCAGGCTGCAGTGTGACAAATGGCCTGCAGATGTTGAATCCATTTGGGTATCTGTTGTCAGATCCCAATGAGATGCAATGGAGTTTGGGCCAAAATCCCTGTACAGGAAGTTAAGTGACATAGGAAAAGTGGAGAGAGGAGGAAATGGAGACTACAAGACCTTGACTATAGGTGGGGTGAGGAAGAAACAGGAATTAGGGATCACTAGCGCCAAGGGTCATTTCGTGGATAATAGTAGCTTTGCTGAGAAGGAGAATGGCAGGAGCAGAGTGGGTGGGAAAGGGGAATGATGGCTCCATTTTCAAAATCCGGTAGTGCAAACCAGTGAAGATGCTTATAGAGGAGGCAAAGACACCAATTCATAGCTCAAGGGAAGGTCAAGAGGGCAAGTCCATTTGGAATTATGGGTGGGTGTTGGAGGATATCACCAGGAAAAGACTACAGTGGGAGAAGAAAGAAGCAACAGTCAGAATCCAGAGAGAGTCTGGCACGAAAGGGAAGAAAGAGCCGGGAGGCACGAGAGCTGCTCACACCACAGCACTTCTCCAGATTGAGCTGCCTCCATTGCAAAATAAAGATCAAGGCTAAATGATCTGTATGTTTTCTTCCTGGTCTCCGATGCTTTAAAATTAGGCATACGAGGGTACATATGGCTCATTCGAAAGGTAATCAGTGTCAGTAATGTAGTGCCAGCTGAATGCATGTGGAACAACAAATGGGGAACTGAAGTAATGATCAGACACAGGTGGCATTTGTCAGGAGGATTTCCTAGACCAGGTCAGGTTGTCTGAAATGGACAATCTGATTGACTTCCTTTGATCCAAAGTATCGGTACATCCATGGCCTGACTACTCTGACTCCGGAAATGCCTGTGAAAGTGAGGGCAAATGACAGGCTGAGTATATACATTCCTAGACTCACTCTCTGTAAGCAGCTGCTTTCCTGGGACATTAAAGATTTTGCAGTTAGAATAATTGGTAGCTATCTCAAAGTATTTGCAGTGATAGATAATCTTGGAAAGCTAAGCAGGGAGCTTCAACTGGCACTTTGGCTTTTTCCAGGTTTTGGAAATAAGTGCATGATGCTAACACGTTATACATTGGGAAGATGTCTGGTGAGTATCGGTGCAAAGCGGAGATGACAGGCAAGTGAGCACTGTGGCAGACAAGAGGAGCTATGTCTGGGATGTGAAAGGAGAGGCGTGGGTGAGGTCGGATGTGGTAATAGTAGGATGAACCACCATGAGACTGTAGCTATTTAGAAGAAATGAACTTCAATCTTCATCTTAAAAGCATGTATCAAAGTCAATGTCAGATTGATTAAGCACTTAGATCTAAAATGCATAACAATTCTTAAAAGCATTGAAAAGGAATATAGGTGCAAATACAGCTTGTCTCAAAATGAGGAGAGATGTTCTAAGCACAAGGACAGAAACAGAACCACAGGAAAGAAAGGGTAAGACTGATAGGTTTGGCTGCAGATAATCTGATTCTGTGTTTATTTAAAAGTAAACATAATGTGAGGCTTGCATGCACATACATATAATTTAGAAGCAAGAGACAAACTAGAAATGTGTAATGGCGTAAATATGACAATGAAATGGCGCAAATTAAATAATGATCAAGAGAGATGAACAGACAATTCACAGGATGAATTCTGTAAAATATTTTTTCTAAAGTTAAATTTCATTCATAGCCTACCACAAATCAGACAATAAAACATTTTTCTCCTCTCAAACTTACAAGGAATTTTCAAACAGACTTCAGGGTCAGCAAAGTCAAGGTGAGACTTTGGGGTACTCTGGCGTATGAGTTAGTCATTGAAGACCTTTGTTTCTTCTCTGTGCCCCATTAATTTCACTTCTTGAATTTTATCTTGAGAAAACAATCAGAAATATGGGCTTTTTGCAAGGGACAACAATTGAAGTATTTTTATATTAACAAAATTCTCAAAGCAATGTACAGATCCAATTTTGGAATGATGATTAAATAAATATAATGGAACATTTAAAATATGTGCAGAAAGAGGTTTGGATGCTTTATTTTTGACATGAGGAAATAACTACAAGGTAACACTGAGTAAAATTTTCACACTGCAGAATAAATGACCTCAAAACAAGCACACACACACACATGTACACACCCACATATATATGGCTGAATTTTTTTTATTGAGTTTATTGGTACATTCTTGGTAAACCACACAGTTATGTTCATTACTGGGATCTTGTACCTTTGCATGACAGGTCTTGGTTCTCATTTTTTCCCCTTGTCCCTGCCCTCCCTTCACATCCCCCTCGCCTCCCCATGACTAAATTTTCTAATACCAAGAAATTAATAATTTCTGCATCCATGTGATAAAATTGTGGGTTTTTTATTTTCTTTATTGTATATTTTGGAAAGTTCTCATAATCATTTTCAATGTATAGTATTTTTACATATTGGAGTCCTGTCAACGAATCAGACTTGCTCTTGCCCTCCATCCCTAGGACAAAGCCTGAATCAGAAGCTCCTGGAAGCTGTCTCCTCACCCACAGGCCTGAGGGAAATGGAAGGAGGTAGTGCCAGCTCTATAAGCATGGGTCCAGGAGGAGAAACTGAGCTTCCTTTGTGTGGAATAAGTATGAGAATATGCTGTGCATTTTACTCCACAAGAAGGCTGAAGAAAACATTGTCACCATGATGAAAAGAGAGCATTAAGATGAAGAATTACAATCTTCATAGCCTTGTGAAATCCATACAGCACGAATTCCCTTGGTGTGACTGTTTCTAGCACTCTTAGTTCTGTGTATTCTAGTATATTGAAGGGTACAGACTAACAAAACCTAAGTACAAATGGAGACTATACAACTGGAGGCTGGATAAAGAAGATGTGGTTTTTTAATAAAATGGAGTACATAAAGAATGAGAAACTAGAGATATTTATAGCTAAGTGTATACACATTGAGGCCATACTCTTAAGTGAAATTAATAAGTCATACATGCATTAAATACCGAATAGTTTCTGTGTAGTGAAAAACTAAAAATGTAAATAAGGATCAAAATGTATAATTGATATTGTGTAATAGGAAGAAAAGGTCTAAAAACGTAGAGGAAGTGGGAGGGGTAGGGGAAAGATAAAAAGGGAAAAGAAAAAATATGTGAAAAGGACAAACATGGAAACATTGTCTTTGTAAACAGGTAAGGGTGGAGGGGTGAAGGGAGGGCTAGGGAATGGGGAAAAATAAGAACTAAG